TGCATCCATGCATCCATGCATCCATGCATCCATGCATCCATGCATGGCATGGCATGGCATGACATGACATGACATGACATGACATTACATTACATTACATACACACATATACATACACATATTCATATACATATACACATACATATACATATACATATACATATACATACACATATACATATGCATATGCATATGCATATACATATACGTATACATATACATATACATATACATATACATATACATATACATATACATATACATACGATATTTGTATATATGTATATATATATATATAATTCATATATATGTATATATACACACAGCAGATACTACCCAACTCTTGTGCATCAGCTTTTGCATCCACACTTCACAGCCATGACCCCAATCGCTGGCCTTGCTCGAATGCCGCAGCCGGGGCATGCCCCAGCTTTGGCCAGCTGCAGGCAACGGCTGCAGAGGCGGCAGTCGCAGCACCCGGAAAAGTAGATGCGAACCTCGCCCCATGTGGCGATGCGACTGCTTGGGGGTTGAGCCAGTCCCCAAAAAAACATGTGGAAGCCAAATGCAATTGACAACAAACATATCTGAACTCACAAACCAGTGGATTGGTGACAAATTTTGCTAAATGCCCCCCTTATTTCCAGATTGGTCAAACAGCCAGTCTCAGTCATAGTCCTCTCCAAGAAAATGCACAGATCCAGAGCCGGAGCCTCATTTTCACGATACCCATCCACGTGGCAGCGAGCACATTCACCCATTGATGAACCACACCTTCGATTCCCTCAAAATGACATCTCAGCGCCACGAAGGTAAATGATCTGTGGATCTCTGATGAAGGGGCAGCTTGTGAGCGTATCAGATTCATGACATGTTCCACAGTGAGGTCCACATAGGTCCACTCTTTTCACATAGGTCTGTGTACTGAATATGCTGGTGCATTTCTGTATGTGTGAAAGCACAGAATAAAAGCCCCCAACTTTGGGAGACCTTGAGCAACGTCGAAGCTTCGGGCAAGACAAGATATGTATAGATATGCTGTATACTATTTTACTATATATAACAGTCATAAGTGAATATACTGGGAAGCATGACGTAAGCCATTTGCATCCACTTGTGGACACGGAGACTTTCTGGAGCGACTTTACTTCCGGCTCCCAGCCTCCCTGGTACCAGTCACTTTGCTTCGTTGAGTCAGGCTGCATTGGCTGCGTGAAACTTCAAACGAAAGCAGCAGTGATCTCTGCAGGACGGGCAGATGCATCCGTCTGCATTCGAACTGTGGACCAATGGCTCTATCTGTCCACTTTGCCTGTGATTCTAACAGGAACATTCCCCAACATCCACAAACCAGTTTAAGTCATAGGTGGCTGTGCATATGCAGATTCCATTACATGATTAATGGCTCTTCCTAGAGCGCTGCTATTGCACCTGGAGAATGTTCGGTGTGGAACAGGCGACAGAAGAACCGCATGACTCGAGAGATCTCAAGAGTCTGGCCGTGCTGGGCCATCAAGTTGCAACTCTTTTGTACACGGGGTACAAGAGTTTTATCACTCCAGCTGAGCAGATCCCTGGGGATCAGAAACACTACTTTGACTGAGAAGCTTTAGGTTGCCAAGCAGTACCCATCTATGTTTTATGTATAAACACAACTAAAGTTGAAAAAAGAAATGTACGTGATTCTTCAAGATGGCTAAAAGTCTGAGTCACTCTGGGACTTTTGTTTTGATCCCCTCTCATATAGTCATGAAGAATCATCCCAACTGGAAACCCATCATTTGTGGAGTAAAGGCTTCTGATCAGATCCTGTAGTCAGTCCATCAGCTTGTAGCCCCTTGGCGACGGTGCTATCTTGAGGCCATCTATGTTTCTCACCTTGACTCTGATATACAAACAAAATCAGCAATGTCATATGGAGTATGTATAATAATATATATATATATGTATACACACATATTTAAACTATACACATAATATGTATGTATATATATATACATATTATACGTTTAAATGATATACGCAACAGTGCTAAGCTTAGCACAAGATCTGTAGCAACCTCAGTGCGTTAAAAAAGCCTAAATAACTCAAAAATAACATATGTCAGTCCGGAAGTAAAGCTGAGTGAAATTGCAGGACAAAATGTGAAGTTTTAAACGCTAAATCTGTTTGAAAAGCTGAGAAAATCAGGCTTTCAAAGCTGAGAGACCCAAGTGATCGCTGTCAGGAATGCACAAACAGCAAATCCGTAGCCTCACACAGAAGCAGCGAGACAGAGAAGTAGCCCGCAGGACGTGCAGCTTGCCAAAACACTGGGATTTCGCTGCCAAACAACGTGACAAAACTGATACAACACCACTTTGTTGTGCTTTCTACTCAAGTCCATTGCGGTTGGTTAATTTTCCCTGCCGAAACAACGCAATTGGTTGGGTGGCTGACCCTCAATATCGTGACAACTTTGGTTTGCATCTCCGTGTCTACTGGTCCCCCAATCTTTTGGTGGCACCAGCCAGCCTGCTGGTGTGGAGGCCAGCAAGTTTGGCACCTGCAGGCACTGCAGGCACATGAAATTCAACAGTTCCAGACGCATCTTGATATGACATGATATGACTAGACGCATCTTGATAAAATCCATGATCATTTCAGTGGAGGTTTTCCTGGCCCACTCGGCCTAACCGTTCAACGGTTCACAAAAACACAAGATCAGCCCAGCCGCCGTTCCAGCGAGAGCAGGGCCGGGGCAAATGCCCACAAGACCCCAGCCAATGCCAAAGAGGATCGCTCCCAAAGTCAACGTTGCCTTGCTGGGTTGGCATCATTGTACACCATGAATAGCACCACTAAGAACGCAAAACGTGAGACTATGCTCGAACGGTTTATGTTGATTTGTGGCATATTTCTCAAGGTATTTTCATCTCCACTTCGTGGCTCGAGCGATCAAAACACTTTGCTTCCCTGCTGCAATCTCGCAAAAATGCATCCACTTTCACAAAGAACAGCGTTGCAGCCTTTCCTTCTCTATACTTAGTGTAAACAATTTTCATCGACGTAGAAAAAACACCTAGGCATATGTTTCTGGTCCCTAACCGCACATTGCACAGCTCAAGCTGCATAATCACCCGATTTGCTGGGCTTCTCAAATGATTCCGCGCATCTGGGCTTTGCACCTTCGGCTTCCTGCAGGTGTCCCAACTTGGGATGTCGGTTGAATTGTTGATGTGATATAATATATATATATATATAATGAAAAAACATCTATTGCCCTATCATGTATAATATGTATACATTCATATACATGTGTATACCATCCATATATATATATATATACACATGTATATATCCTATATCATATTGTAAATATATATCAAAATATCAGATATCATGTACCAAAGATCACATATCATAAATATACAATATACCATATGAAATCAATATTACCATCTTTTTTGCACAGCCACCACGGCCACGTTGTCTCGCGGTCCGCCAGGTAGAAGGCCGGAAAGGAGACCAGGATGCCACAGCCCATCACGAAGGCCAGCGAAGGATCCCAGTAGCCCGCCACGTCCAGGAAGTTCAGCACCTTGGCCTCGAGGAAGGCCATGAAAACATGGAAAGATGATGAAAGATGCGTGGTTCAGAGTGGGGAAAATACATGAAAATGCGGAAAAACTGAGATAAACATGGATAAATCATGGATAACTGATGGATACCATGGATGGGAATCCTGCCAGGAAAATTCCAGGAAAATTCCAGGAGCAGATCTGCAGCGCCTGGCTGGTCATTCCAGCAACTCCCAGGCCCAAACCAAAGATGGTACCTGCAGCCTCAGGGACCATCGGATGGGGGTTTCCATAAATGGGGCTACCCCAAAAGCTGGATGCTTTAAGGGACAATCCATTTATAAATGGATGATAATTGGGGGTACCCCCATTTATGGAAACTATCAGATGCTGTACATGTCTTTAAGACCATGTAAAACTCATCCAACTGCACTGCTGAAACTAATCCAAGATATTCCAAGATCTGGAAGAAAACTCCCTGGCTGCAGCTGCTGCTTGAACTGGAGACATTGCTGGGAGTCCGGACCAACGGACAGATGACGCCATGCGCACTGCCAGGCAGCGGCGCAAAGGACAGCACCGCCAGCAGGAGAGAGGCAGCCACAGTGCAAAGGGCAAACTCCCAACTGGCAGGGTGGAGGATGGAAGAAACTTGAAGAAAGGCTGTTTTTTTTCTTTAAAAAAAACATCCTCATGAAGGAAAGCCCAAAGAGGGCATGGTTTACTGATCGCCAATACTGTACTTGCTTCGAAAGTCTGGTCTCGACTCTGCTTTCTTCTTTCTTTGCATCACTCTCAGAACATTGTCAAATAATGCAGCTTCATCTTGAATTGCAACTTCAAGTTGAATGAATGGCAGTTTCACATCTCACTGTCGTATATGGCCGCATTCAGATTCATTAATTGCAGCCTTCGGGCATAGTTAGTTTCTTTCGTTTGATGTAGACACAACATCTGGATGGCAAAGCACAGGGGGAGAATCGGAAAGATATAGGAGAAGATTGATAGCGCAAACAGAACTCTGATCGGATTTTCATGGAACTGCGCACAGAAAAAGTGATGCAAAATCAACAGCGAGACAACCAGTTTCCCTGGACATGCCTTGGAGGCCACTGCAATGGAGCAATGCCAGCTTTGTTGGGCTCACCCGTCTGCATGACGTGCCGCGTGAGGTAGACCACCACTGTGGGCACAGGTTGAATTTCAAAGAGAAGAAAGCCCGTGCGCATGCTGCAACAGTGCCGGCGCTGGTGACTCAGTCACAGTCACTAGGTCTCCCGACATCCTGCAAAGAGCATGAAAAGTGGTACAGCCAGCCAGCTGCGTTTGCTGAAGCGCGGCAGACCACAAATTCCATGCCCTGAAGTGCAGCCCCTGTCAGCACAAAAAAATCTATAGAAAAATCCCTCTGGTTCGGGAAAATTGAACTACGATGTGCTGGGCCATGTTGCAAAAAAGCATTGACTGATAAAGGTGCCTCTGAAATCGCGTTCCCAGACCTAAAGAAAAGCCTGCCACCACATACCGGGCCATAGTGAACGGTTCAGGCCCCGGAAAGGCAAAGGGAGCATTGAAGCCATAGTTGATCAAACCTGCAAACAGTTTGCCACGGCAGCAATCAAGTCTTATCGCGCATTTTCTGAGTCACTTCCCATCGGAAAGTGATGTGGTTAACCTCTGGACAGGTCTGCAACATTGAAAAGAACATCTCTTCCAGAAATCATGTGGCGATGCTCTTCATGTGCACCAACTGTGTCGATACGGATTCAGATATAGACATGAACATGTATCTCGATGCACAGTACGCCATCATAATGGCTGGGCACTCCCAACAACCTCCAACCTTCAATGCAGTCAAAGGACAGATCTACAGCTACGGTTTCCTTAACTCTTAGTGGAACCTTTGGTTTGGTCAGGCTGCAGCCTCAGTGAATTGCACCTGCGGACTGCTTCCACCCAAACTTTGTTCCAGGGTTGCTAGGTAGACAAATACATAGATGGAAGCATGGAGAGAGGCAGGATAGATAGGATGGACAGGACAGGAAAGGACAGGACAAATGGATAGATGGATAGATAGGGTAGATTAGATGGCGCCATATTCCATGTTCCCACCTGCCTCTCCTGCAATTGCTAGTAGCCCCACCCATTTTTTTGCACCCACCTACAGTGAGTTTCCACACAGTACCCAAGGATCTACCTACTGATGTTCTTATCTTACGTACTACCAATACACTGCCTACATCCTAACCGGTCCTAAGCATGCACCCCATTTGCTATTCAGATGAACCCAGCCCCATCTCCAGCTGCTTTTCAGCCTCCCAAGACAAGACCAAGCAAGAAGTAGAGCTTCCACAGCTGCGCACCAGCTTCACATTTCACCACCTTGGATCGGACGAAATCTTGAGACCTCGAAGATAAATATGATCTTTGGGATTAATCACTTGGGCATAAGGAGAAAAAGCTGCACGGCCACAAATCCATATACAGTCCCATCAAGGTCCATACGAGGCATCAATGCACTAGAACTGACTCGCTCTCTGTGACGCTGAGCCACGCTTTTGAGAAATGGCCCAAGGATGCCACTAATGCCAGTGATCTTTCCTCAGTTCAAAACACTGAAACTTCACTGGTATCCACGTACTGTGACATACTCTCCTAGATCGCCCAAACATTGGTGCAATACATATTTTAATTATTCCTGCCAGGTTTCAAACCACCTGATAGTCTACACTGCCCATGGCCATCGACCATCCATTGCTTCAAGCGTCCATCTGCTTGATATGCCACCAGGGCAGAAAGACCAATGAGAGCGCCTGAAATCAACCGCTGTATCGCTGTTTCTTTCCTTGCTAGTTGGGTCAAAAAGAGCATGTGTTCATAAATTTATCTTGATATAATTTTAGATATATGTATATAGTTTGTTATTTATTTATTTATATATATATGTGTGTGCAAATGCATATATATATATATATCGCAGCCATGGAAAAACATGAACCGGAGAAAACTGCTGCCAAGATCTGCTGCGTTCTGCCTCCAATGCCCGATTCAACCGGCGTGAACTTGGTCTCCATCGCCTGAACACAGAACTGAACAGCCTCTTATCATCTCTCCGTATCCAAAACATAAGCATAAACAGACATTGCACTACATTCTGTTGCATTCCATTGTATTGCATTACAGTATAGTGACATATATCATATATACAACATACATACCATGCAAGCCATGCATGCCATGCATGCCATGCATGCCATGCATGCCATGCATACCATCCATGTATGCATAAACAGGTAATATTCAATAGCGTTACATAACATTACATAACATTGCACATATCACACCAAATAACATTGCATATATTTCATTACATTACTCACATCGCACCACATTGAATGACATTGCAATACATCATATTACAATACATTGCTTCATTCCATTTACACGACATTTCATTACACAAATATGTATCCATGTATATGTTCCAGCTGCATCCACTGCATCTCAGGAGCCTTGGCTGATCCGGATCCAAAAACTGTGCCGCTGAGCCGTACAGCTTCGGTTCACGAGATCTGGGGATCAACATCCACAAGATATTTGAGAGTGTCAACGTACCCGATTTTTGACTCATGGCTAATATTGCATTTTAAAAAAAACGATATTGAAATCTCTTCCCCTGGTGCTCAAAAGCAATTGCAACCTGCTGCAAGCCGGGGCACGAATCCTGCTCCTGCTTCGTCGCATCAGTGATTTTGGTCTGACACGAGTCCGGTAGGGGTGGTATGGGCACTTTGTCTTTAACAAAGATTGTTCCATTCCGACAAGGGCAATTGTCTTTACACATTGCTGCAATTTAGTTGTCAATGATATGTGCCAGTGAACAAGGCACCAAACCAACTAGCCATCACAAATCTCAACACAGGTCCCGCCTGGAGACCCTCCAACATCTCCACAGCTTTGACAATCGGGCTGCCTGGTCTCAACTCTGCATACATGTGTGTATGATCTACAAAGACCTGTACCTGTACCGTATATACCACGGATACCTCTGCCTCTGCCCCTGCCTCTACCCCTACCTCTGACTATACCTATACCATCCTATACCTATACCTTTGCCTTTATCTTATACCCATACCCATAAGCATAAACCTAAACCTACACCTGTACACCTACACCTATACATACCTATACCTGTACCTGTACCTAAATAAAAACAATTACCTATACTAATACATATACATATACATATACATATACATATACATATACATATATATATATATCTACCTAGACATACACATAGACACAGACAGATACAAATAGATAGACATAGACAGAAGAAACAGATTCACGTCCACACACATATATGTACATAAACGGTCACGGACCCCCCTAGCACCCGAGGAACAAGGCCGCTTATCATACATCCACATGTAGATGATGCAATGCTAAGGTAAGGAGGCAAGGCAAGGCAAGGTAACCCAAGTAATGTGATGTGATGTAATGCTATGCTATGCCATAGCTGCTATGCCATAGCTGCTATGCCATGCCATGCCATGCCATGCCATGCTATGCTATGCTATGCTATGTTATGTATGAAATCATGTGCGCATGTGTGCATGTGTGTTTGTAAGCATATATATAAACATGAATGTAGGTGTGGCTGTCCGTCCGTCTCTCTGTCCAAATGTGTAGTGTACATATTGTCCCGTCAAAGCAACAAATTCAATGCCTTAAACAAAGAATGTCTGAGTTTCCGCCTCCGCCATTGCCACTTGCTGCCAAAGTTCCTGAACCTCAGATTGGAAACGCTGCACGTTTCCTGTAACCTGAAAAACCTGAAAACCCTTGCACACGCAGGTAGCACACGCAGATAGAATGTTTTTACGTTGTCATTCCTGCAAATTCGGGCATACCCCTCCATGAAGTGATTGTGATCATCTCAAGAATAGTTGTAACATGTTGTAACCAAAACATAAACAAGAAACAATTTGGATCAACTGAGTTTGTGACGCGATGTGGATTTCACAGCTTCAATGGAAGTGATCACCTCAACAAATGTGGCACCGTTGGACAACCAGAAGATGCTGCAGTTGTTTCCCCTGCACGTTTTGAAAAACACAAATCGTTGGAATTGAACAAGGGGGAAATCCATGGAACGTTTGTTTGTTTGTGAAACATGTTAAGCACAATCCAAGCATCTGCTGCCCACAAGAGTATTGTTTTGCTCATCCTGCACGACATTTTTTTTGGCAATACCCACTAAAACAAATTTTGGCACTTATGCACAACAACAACGTCCTCAAGGTTGGACATGGAGGCCACTTCATTGCGTACTATGCATGACGCACAGCCATGCTGCAAACCGAGCCAAGAACGTCAATTCAAAAACAATTTACATTTGTCCCAATTCAAGATACTATGTCAACACATGTTTGTACATTTTTCCCCATTAATACTGGTAGTATTTGTACGGCAATGTTTTCAAAATAATAGTTTGACATGTCGTTCAAAACAAAATTACCATTGAGATATGTCCATCAACCTTTTCGAAACATAATATTTAAAGTCTAATTTGCAGAAAAAAAACATTGGCACTCATTTTCACCATCTGACACTGACACCCAATTTGGCCCTAGCGGCAGAGTTGCTCACATTGAAGGATTTAAAAAATCCATGGTTTAAACAAAATCATTGTACCAAAATGTGTTTCGGCCGCAAAGCCATGGTGGACCAATCAATTTTGTGGTTTTATTTGAACGTGCAACAAGAGGTGCATGTCACCGTGCAGTGAAAAAGGCGCACATTTGATTTTTCAGCATACTGGTTTTCGTTTGTTTAACGGGCAGTTTTCACTGCAAAATCCTTTTCACAATTTGCGTTTCTGGCAATTTCATGTTTTTTTTCGCACTAAGGGGATCGTCACGCTGATTGACATTGACCACATTGGCATTTTTTGTTTTTTAAAATGTGCGATATGTACGTTGATTCCAGATGCAAACCCAAAAAAACAGCAAAGCGCCTACATATCCTTGAAATTTGGTGTTGTTGTTTTTTGACCTTAATGTGTTGCCCGATTGGGTTTGACATGGCGTTTGTCAAAGTCACAAATGAATGTTTATTTATAATTGGATTGTGTTGTTTTGGGTTTCACGACGTAAATTCAAGATTTTTTTTGGCAAGTAGATGTGGGCAGCCAATGTGCTGTTTATGCAAAAATCCATTTAGTCCAAACCAAAGGTATAGTCAAGGGCGGCCGGTAGGCAGTGTTCCGCGCGGATGACTTAGTAAGCAGAAAAGGTACACATAAGTACCCCCATGATAGAAAATTCTGAGGTACACTTCTGCCTACTGGGGTGCCTTTGTTTATATGTTGTATATAGCGGAATCTGCCTACTGGTGTCGGGGTTCCCACCATTATGTATATAAACAGATTAAATATACCTCAGAATTTGCTATCATGGGGGTACTTAAGCGTACCTGCCAATTAGATGGGCATGGGGGTACAATTCTTACCAGATATTACTATATAG